GCGCCCCAGCCAATGTGTTTATGGTGGATGCTACCGGCTGCAAACCGAAGTATAAAAGGATACTGAGTTCACTAACGTGTATTTAACATGAATGGAAACTACATGAATCTACACTATTTCAGTTATGTTGTATTTAATAGCATGTTAATTGAGCTTACCTTACGCAAAGTGTAAAAAGATTCAAGGTACTTGCAGAGAGTAACCGAATCATTTAGGTCGCGTAAGGGTTTGAGAAGATCCCGCAGCACAACAATATCAGACAAAGCCACAGTCATCCCTCCCCCAGTTAGAGGGTGGCGCATGTTGAATGCATCACCCATTAACAGGGCACCAGGGGTAGGATGAGGAGCAGCAGGCATGCTTCGGTTTGGCATTGTCCTTATGTTACCCTTGTCAACTGCTGCTACAAAGGAATCATATATTTGAGGGGGAATCTGCAAGATAATGTCACATTTTCAGTCCAAGGCACTTTAATTAATTATATGGCAAAGAGTTTCAATGATAGATAGGGGGTCACAAAAAAAAATTTGTGAATACAGAATCTATATACCTGAGGAGCCACCACAGTCTTCAAGTACTTTGCCATTTCACCATTTGAAATGGAAGGAACCTTCTGTCCAGGAACATCAACCAGACAGCGAACTTCTGTACTACTAATCGGGTAGAACAAAATTGGAGAAGGATCTGCTAATACAACATGCCCATGATTTGCATAAGGAAGGTTGCAGTTTTCCAGGACCAAACCAACAAAACAAGATGGCACATCTACCTGCAGATACATATAGAGAAGAGATTTTTAGATTTTCAAGTACTTGTTTCTTATGGAGTAAAATTGTTAACACTATAATAAATAAGAAGACATAATTTATCCATAAAATAGACTTTAGGTACACACAAATTTTGTAACCAACAAGATTGAGAGGCAACTCACCTTAGGAATGCAAAGGGACCGGCGCAAGTTTGAGAAACATCCATCACAGACAATGGTCAGAGGTGCATATGCTGTTAGTTCTTGTCCAGTCTTGGTTTTGTACTGCACCCCTTTGATTGTTCCATTTTCTTCAAGCAGAGACGTAACTGTTCCTTGTTCGAGTTGTACACTGAAGGAAGTTGAAAGAAAAAAGGCATTATGGTTAGAAGACAAAAATGCATTACTTAGATAAGTATACTTCAAAAGTGAGAATTATTCTTGTTTACAAGTCAAGAAGTTGACAAATAAAAAGCATATATGATGGAGAAGATAAAACAACATTAATATGAAAAATGGGAAAAAAATATAATACTTTGGAAGAGAAGCTGCCTTCTCACGCATCCTTTGAATGAAGCGTCCATTGTGAAAGCTCCTTCCAGACACATCGGAGTGAAATTTCTCCAAGGGATAGGAGAGACGAGTATCCTTTCCGTCCTTGAAAAGAGCATATCCATACACCCGTTGAGAATCAATTTCCTCCACACAATCTGCAGTCAGATATAACCAGGTTTCCGTTTAATGATATCTCTATCATTTTAAGAGACAAGCAACGAACATAAAATAAATAGTCCTCGTCACCTGAGATAACCCACCTTGAAGTCCCAACTCAATCAATTTAAGATACCCCCCAGGTTGAAGTAGTTCACCAACAATTCTGTCTGGCTCTGCCAAGTCTCTTTCAATCACATGCACTCGGCGTCCATCCTGCACTTTTTAGATCCAGAATCAGTTTGCAATCTATTAACATGAATTCATTTGTCCCTAAACGTGAAAGAGGCTAAATAAAACTGGACCATATTTAGCATGAAGGGTAGACAATAAACTTTGCCATTTGAGAATTCAAAACATAATCTTGACACAAATTCATGGATAAACCATAATATGATAGCATAAATTCAGAAAAAGACAAGGAGTAACTAAAGATGCCATAGTTTATCAATGAGTTGGATAAATTACGTTACCATCCAGTTTACAAAAGTAGATAGAGGATAAGAAGTTTTTTAATCTTAATAAATAACTTGGCAGATATTGGAAGCCAAAGTATTGTTAGACTCTTTCGTGTATGACGAATCTATTTCTAGCGACATGTATAAACCGATCAGGTGCTAGTTTCATCCTACTCAAGCCCCAGAACCAGGTCTTAAATAGGGCGGGGTGAGAACAAAGTAAAAACATTAACAAGTATCAACAACTCAAGCTGTGAAATAAAAGATTGCAAATTGGCACCAAAAAGTCAAAGATACTTCCACTTAGTTGATTTATATCAGTTAGTCCCCACTGAAATTTTCAAACAATTTACAGATAACTTAAAAAGTAGAAACTCTGTTATCCTAGTCCGTGTAAATGACATGTAAATAAATAGACATAAATCATTTCCTATTCTATGTTTTCATTCCAGAAAAATTATTTTCGTACGGATTCAAACCGCAAGAAATTTTGAAAAATAAATATATGATCAAAAAACAACGAGGTACTCAGTAGTGGTCCTTGGTATGGTGTTTCATTCATGTCGCTGATGTATAAAATTATTATAATAAATGCGTGTGATATCTATGACAACGTCAACAATCAACCACCTTATCCGAACCAA